AGTGGTGGGATTCAAATAAATTAACAACAGGTTCTATGTCCTAATGACCATTTTAACTATACCAAAAGATATACAGAAAGGTAGTTTAATAATGCACACATTAAATACTGCAATAAGAACAGTAAAAGAGGTACAGACAACTAGATTATGTTTAAAGGAAGATTTTTAATAATAAATACCTGACAAACAGTTATTGAAGATATTTCCATATTGCTGTTTGATTGGTGTCCTCATTTGCAAGTTTCTTTGCTTTTATCCGAGCATCATTAGCTGTGTGATTTACCCTTAACCATCTTTGCACTGTAGGAGTAGGATTCCATTCCTTTAGCAGTAGGCCGATAGACTGATAATCATTATGTTTGATATATTGGAAACAGTCAGGCAACTTCTCTTCTCAGAACATATAATGTTCATCTTTGAAAAACCCCTTTCTGCTTCTGCTGAACTTACAGAAATTGTTCTGACAATATTTTTAGCTCTTTGAACACTTTCATGAATTGAATAGTTCTGGTAGTTTTTTAAAACATTTCCCACAAAATCTCGATACTTATTAACATCAATTTGGTAATCGAAAAATGTATTAAATACATGCAATTGCTCTTTCAGCTGCTTTCCATGGAACTATTACTTCTTCAATATTCCAGTAATCTGGCTCCAAAAAAAGTGAGAAATTGTAATGTATTCATCAAATCAAATTGGCTACAACTTGCTTTTAAATGTCCACAATCCATTAATCCTGAGCCTAGTCGTATAGTGCTTCTAAACCATCCAAATTCTTTAGACTCTAACCCTCATAGAATTAGCAGGATCAGTCCACAATCCATTAATCCTGAGCCTAGTCGTATAGTGCTTCTAAACCATCCAAATTCTTTGGACTCTAACCCTCATAGAATTCTGACAGCAGGATCACCAGTTAGGGATTCTGTCAGATAGGACACAAAGCAACTGTAGCCAGAGTTTGCTGGCTGGAGTTCATGAGATTTTTAGGCTAATACATCTAGAAGGTATCAGGTTGTGTGCTTGGCAGCTTCTCTTAAAGGCCTTGGATCTGATCTCAGTGCAGCCACGCATTGATGAAGACACTGTTAACAAACTTGGGACTCCAAATGTTCTTGGGCTGCAACTCCCAAACGGCTTAGCTGGCACAGCTAATAGGCCTCAAGTTTGGGAATATCTGTGGTAAGGAGCCTAAGGCAAGGTGTTTTGTTTTTTTTTTAAACAGCCTTGTCCCTCTGAAGGGTGTTTGACAGCAGCATTTCCTGACCCAACCTGAGATTTTTGTTGTTGTTTAGTCATTTAGTCATGTCCGTCTCTTCGTGACCCCATGGACCAGAGCACGCCACGCCTTCCAACCTGTGGGGCTCATTTTCCAGCACCATAGCTTTTAGCCATTGTTTCTGTTCATGGAGTTTTCTTGGCAGAATTCGTGACATGACCTGTCTGTCTTGGGTGTCTCTGCACAGCATAGCCCAAAGCTTCTCTGAATTACTCAAGCCCCTTCACCACGCCAAGGTAGCAATCCGTGAAGGGGATGGTGAGAATACATCAGTATAATGTTACCTCTGATGTTACTTGTGTGACTGGAAACCATGTTCGTGTGTCTCCAAAATGACACACACCAATAAAGGGGAACCTAAACAGCATTGTCTACCATGCATTTAGCATAGGACTTGCCCCTGCAGTTGATTTCATTAATACAAAATATTTTGGCATTAATTGTTATATTTCTTTATGTTTTCAGGGAGTGAAAGGATTAAAAGGAATAAGAGGAAAACCTGGAATTCCGGTGAGTCCATAGAAAAAATTAAAGCACATTTCCTCTGGTGATTAATCTCTGAATTGCTTGAAAGGGAAAATGTGCCACCTTTGGAGTCTTCATTTGAATTTTTCATTATTATTACCCTTCACAACTAGTTTGGCCCCTACTAGAGTGATTCATGGTTTCTCACTCAGCTCCATGGGTTCTTGGATGGGATAGATTATCTAGATCCATTCTAATCTGGTTTCAGGCCTACTTATGGGACAGAAACTGCTTGAAACACCTTGCTAGATGACCTATGGTGGGAACTGGAAAAGGGGAGTGTGTCCCTGATGTTTTTTTGGTCCTCATCAGCTTTTGAAACCATGGTATCTTTCTGAGCCATCTCTTTGGGATTGGACTTGGAGGCACTGTTTTACAGTGGCTCTGGTCCATCCTACAGGAGAGTACTCAGAAGGTGGTGCTGGGAGATGCCAGATATGGTGGACAAAGTGCTTGACCGCTGTTGTGCCACCACCTCCTCCCTTGACCCTTGCCCGCCCTGGCTAATCAAAACAGCCAGGCCTTTAACAACTGAATGGGCCACTGCAATAGTTAATGGGTCTCTCCAGGAGACACTCATTGGGCCCATGAGGAAGAAACCAAGTTTGGCGGCGGACAACATTGGCAATTATAGGTCCAGAACACTGTTGTCAGTGTTTCTTTCCTCAGCAAAGTAGTAGAGAGGGTGGTGGCTGATGAGCTCCAGGCCCTTCTGGATGAAATCAATGCCCTGGATCCATTTCAGTCAGGCTTCAGGCTGTGCCACGATATGGAAATGGCATTGGTCGCCCTATTTGATTACCTGCTGAGGGAGGGCGACAGGGGCAAAATGTTGGTCCTCCTCGATATCTCAGTCGCCTTCGATACCGTCAACCACAGTATCCTCCTGGGGAGGCTTCTCCAAGCTGTGAATTGGTGGTCTGGCGCTTCTCTGGATCTGATCCTTCTTGGAGGACTGTCTTCAGAGAGTACAGCTTGGGGAGTGTGTTTTGGCCCCGTGGTTCCGCAAGGCTCAATTATCTCCCCAATGTTATTTAATATCTATATGAAGCCTCTGGGTCAGGTCATCAGGGAGTGTGGAGCTTTGTGCCATCACTACGCTGATGACACCCAGCTCTACATTTCCTTTTCATCAAAAACAATGGATGCCGTGTTGTCCCTTCAGCGCTGCCTGGAGGCCATATTGAAATGGATGCAGGTGAATATATGAAACCTCTGGAAGAGATTGTCTGGAGTTTTGGGGTTTGGTGTCACCAATATGCAGATGACACAGAACCTCTAGTCTCTTCTTGCCATCTAAATCTGAGGAATCTATTTGAGCTCTAGATCAGTATGTCAGTAATGAATAAGGATGAATAAACTCAAGCTTAATGCGGACAAGAGAGTGGTGCTTCTGGTCAGTTCAAAAACAGATCACAGAATAGGGATGCAGCCTGTGCTAGATGGGGTTACACTCCCTCTAAAAACATATGTGCAGAGCTTGGGGTTGCTCCTAGATTTGTCTCTGAGCTTGGATGCCCAGGTTTCAGTGGTATTCAGGAGTGCATTTGCTCAATTAAATCTAGTTTGCCAGCTGCACACTTTCCTGGAGAGGTCTAACCGGGCCGCAGTGAGACATGCCTTAGTTACATCCCAGTTGGATTACTGTAATGTGGTCTATGTGGCGCTGCCTTTGGAAAGTGCTTGGGAGCCTCAGTGGGTCCAAAACACTGCAGCCAGATTATTACAGGGATCACATACCGCCCCCCTCTCATTACAACAGATCCACCGGATGCTGATCTGGTCCTGGGCACAATTCACAGTGCCTATAAATAAAGTTGGATCCAAGCTGTCACAAGGACTGTATCTCCCTTTATGAGCCTGTCCAGGTCCAGAACATGAGGAGAGGCCTGTTGCTTGGTATTTTAACCTTCACAGGTGCTTGTGGTTGGGGACACAGGAAAGGCCTAATCTGTTTCTAAGTAATGTGTTTACCTAACATTTCAAATATAATGTTATTAATTCTTTTTAATATTTGAATATTTTACTGCCTTTAACTTTTAATATTGTGTTTTAATGCTGCATCCCACCTTATGTTCTTTTTAAAGAGAAGGGTGTTTTTAAATGTATCATAAATAAATACTTTTTTCATGGAAATTCCATCTTCACCGTTATAAAGATGACCTCCATGTAATTTGCTATTGTGCTATATTTATTTCTTTTGCCAAATTAAAGCAAAGTTTTCTTTTGCTTTTTGTTGAGGTAGGGTTCTCCTGCATATGTGGCAGAAAAAGGAGAAGAGGGGATAACAGGTTTTCCTGGACCAAGAGTAAGTACATAATTAAAAATAAGAAGAAGTGAGTTTACATTCATCCCAATAAGACTGTTTTTTCTGGATATCATGAGTTGTTTTTATTAAAGATAGAAGTTTTTGGAAGCACACAAAAAAGCAAAGCAAAGCGTGCTGCTTATATACCGCCCTATAGCGCTTCAAGCACTCTCTGGGCGGTTTACAAGTTGTGTAGCCTTACAATGCAGGCTCCACATTGCCCCCCCCCCAGCAAGCTGGGTACTCATTTTACCGACCTCGGAAGGATAGAAGGCTGAGTCAACCTTGACCGGCTACCTGGGATTGAACCCCAGGTCGTGAGCACAGTTTTAGCTTTAACCACTGTGCCACAACAAAAACTATCCCATGGGGCTGATCAAATCAGTATAACTGAAGCAAGAGAAAGACCCTTTCTATGTCTTTGGTAAGATAAAAACAACACTTAATTTTTTCTAGTCACAAACAGCTTAAAAACATTGAATTTAGGAACTGCCTTATCCTGCATTGGGTAAGATATATACTAGAAACAGGTTAGTGTTTGCTGAATGAAAGCTATAATGTGGGTTACTCACAGTTCGGCCTCATTCCTCTCTGAAGAATGTGTGAGACTCTAAAGCCTTGTCTAAAAGGCTATGGTCAAACTACATGAGACTGTCAAATCCACATTTGGAAATGGAGTACTATATGGGTCTGACCGCATAGCACAAAATGCAAAATAATCCACTGTGAAGTCACACCTGGCTTTTCTGGGTGAATTCACTCAAGCAAGATTACACAGGAGTCAACAGTGAGAGCAGAAGAAATTGCCAATCTGCGCTTGTTGGCACATTTTTGAGGTGCCTCTAATGCAGTAGTCCAGGTGTGCAGGATGCATGGTTACTGTAGAGCTACCTTAACAAACTGCAAATGAGGGCTGGCTGCCAATTTCCTCGTCTCTGCCAATTTCCTCTTCATATAACTTTTTTTGTCCCTGGCATACTAGCACTGTTACATGTCTCTTAAAAAAGGTTCCAAAGTAAAAGGATGCTTAGTTGAAGGGAACTGCAACCTCTTGCAAGTCCCCCTTTGCTTCCTCTTTCTCCATCTTGAACTAGGAAGCTGGGAGAGTTGGAGTATGGATGGGGGGGGACTTTGGGCAGATTTGCATTGACTTTTATGACATGTAGCCAATGGAAAATAACGTGAATCAGACTGTTTCAATTCCAAACCATTTTCCACATTTATTTGTCAATGTACTTGTACCCTATATTGATAAAAGAAATCTGTTCTACCATAAGTTTGTTCATTTTTGCGTTTGGAAATTCACTTAACTTTCTTTTAAATTGATCATCAGGAAATAAATAGAGTTCAATTTGAAAGTCTGATTGCTCAGAGAGAAGCTCACTGAAGGGCTAACATGCCATCACCTTCTCATGCAAGCTGCTTGTGTTGTCTAGTTTAATCCTAAATCATGAAATATTAAGTCGCCAAACAGGCAAAGAACCCACACAGTTACCATTAAGACAGTAGAGTTGCAATTCAGATACTGAGTTCTGTCTCTCAAATTGAAATGCAATATTTGTCCTGAAAGTCCTTTAAGCTCCTCCTCCCTCTTCTCTAGCCAACTTCTTAGGGATTAAAAATGTAAGACCTATAGGCTTTTGTTGTTTAGCAGTTAAGTCGTGTCCAACTCTTCGTGACCCCATGGACCCAGGCACAATCTTTTTACAGAAACAACCAGCTCCCAATTCCATATTCATCGAAACTTTACAATCTCACTCTCAATGCAGACAAATACTAATTGTTGTTCTTGTTTATTCATTAAGTCGTGTCCAACTCTTCGTGACCCCATGGACCAGAGCACGCCAGGCCTTCCTGTCTTCCAGTGCCTCCCAGAGTTGGGTCAAATTCATGTTGATAGCTTCGATGACACTGTCCAACCATCTCATCCTCTGTTGTCCCGTTCTCCTCCTGCCTTCACATTTCCCCAACAAGAAGGTCTTTTCCAGGGAGTCTTCTCTTCTCATGTGATAGCCAAAGTATTGGAGCTTCAGCTTAAGGATCTATCCTTCAAGTGACCACTCAGGGTTTATTTCCTTCAGAACAGATAGGTTTGATCTCCTTGCAGTCCAGGGGACTCTCAAGAGTCTCCTCCAGCACCACAATTCAAAAGCATCAATTCTTTGGTGGTCAGCCTTCTTTATGGTCCAGCTCTCATTTCCATTTAAGATGCTGTTGAGGTTTGTCATCGCTTTCCTCCCAAGAAGCAAGTGTCTTTTAATTTCGTGGCTGCTGTCACCATCTGCAATGAT